TCAAAGCTTCTCTCCTCCCCATCTACATTCTACTCTTTCAGCTCCTCAACTCCTCAGTTTTCTTTCTTCAATATCCAATAGAAACAAGAAATCATTTTTAATTTTTTGCGATTCATCAATTGCGGCTTTTTGAATCAACTCTCAAATAAGTAAACTCAAATCCAAAAGAATCTTTTGCCGTTTGCCCCTCTTCTTCCTTGTTGTTTCTTTTTCTTCATTCTTCCTGATAATATGAAGCCAGAAAATAAAATTCCTCACTAACAAATGGTCCAAAAAAGAAAAAGACAGAAACTTTATTGACGTTTCAGATCAGATAAGAAAAAGGAAATCTGGGATTTTAACATGGTTGAAATGGAAAAAGGTGTCTGAAACCAAAAAAAAAAAAAAAAAAACCCTAGAAAAAAGGTAAAAGACGCTGGGATTTCCACCTTGAATCCCTAAAAAAGGGAAAAGTTTTCGAAGATGCTGGAACTTCGAAGGAGTTAGCGTTGAACATTACTCAAAAATAAAGTTAGCACAAAAATGATTATCACTTCTTGATGACCCCAAACCATCAGTACCAATTTAATTAATTATCCAAGTTTTATACATCTTCTTCTTGCCTAGAATGAAGATTTAGAGAGAAATTGATGGAGTGGGCAGATGGATTTACAAACTAATTTGATGTATTAGCTATTAGGCTTGGAAAACAGAGATTAAGAGGCCTGCAAGTATCTTTGTGCAGGTGGAACCTGCAAAGGAGAAGCATGAAGGCAAGCAAACGGCCAAAAAAGGAGGAAGGAACGTTACGTTGAGTGTTTTGTGGCCCACAACTTAACTACGTGTCAGCTTCTAATTGGTTTGGGACACATCCTACGTGGTATCAACGTGATATAGTAGACTTTCTCCTAGAGCACAGCTCGATGTGAAATGCGTCCTTGTGGAATCGAAAAGAAATGCCACCTAATTATGAATGAGCATGAACAGTCCTCGTAAAAAAATATTCTATTATTTAAAATAATTAACAGCAATATTGGTGAAGCTTTGACTCGGTTCGCATGTTTTTGAAATTTTGTATGTAATTCTATTTCTATTCGTTAAAATCATTTATTATCATTTTATTTTATTATAAAATTTGTTAATAATTACATAAATTAACATATATAATATAATGTCAGTAGTTTCCTTATTATTTTTACTCGCAATTGTATCTGTTCGGCACGGTTAGGCAAAGTGCTTTATTACTTTGTCCTTTAGTGAAAGTATCACCTTTTATGAGTGAATTAAAAGTGGGCTAAAAAGTTCGTAACCCAAAAAATATTCAAAATGAACGAAAAATCGAAATCAATAAATAAGTTTTGATTGTGTTTTAAGTTTATTTGATTAAAAATTAAATTAAATTGATTTTAAATTGTT